CATGTCCGGTGTAGACATTGCCGCACAAGTGGGCGATTGCACAAAAAAAGAAAGGGCCTGCCGTGGGGGGTGCTTACCGTAATTTTGCCCAAAAACGTACCCATATGGTCATAAAGGGTTTGGAAATAATGCCTGTGCGTAATGTTCTCTAGTTTTAAACAGCAGCGGTGCAATTTAGACGTTGGCCAATGTTTTCAACTAGGTTATGCACTCTTGTTGGTTGATAATTTCCCTTATAGTTTATGCACTCGCACTCAAATATTGACATATTCTTTACTTAGATTATGTTGTGAGCATGAAGGACTACCGAACCAAAAAGGATTCTTTCAGGCTCTCGATTGAATCCTAAGCCAGATCAAGAATAATTTTGAGTAGGAAGCAAAGAAAGGACTCTAACTAACTTGCTTCAGGCCCATACTAACTAATTTGACTAAAATAGAATGGGAAATTTATCAAAATACACCCAATTTTTCAATGCATTTACAACATGTCCTCTTTCAGACTATTCTAACTTATGTTCATGCGTATTATTGGTATTTTTAAAATTAAATCAAAAGATATAAGTAAAATGGTAAATAATTTATCTCTTATACGTCTTTTAATAAATTTACTAAACATAATTCACAAAAGTACACCTTTTCTCTTGTAAGAATGATTAGTTGCTTACAACATATCAATCGGAAGAGCTCGATTTGTCTAAATTGGAAATTGGCAACTCTAATGAAATTATTGTTTCTAAACGATGGGGATAACCCGTATGGCTGTTATTTGTTGAACAAAACAAATTGACGAGGAGAAAGAGGAAATGGAATAAATAACAAGAAGCAATCACATAATACCTTTATAAACACAGAGACCCTCAAAACAGAGGTGAAGTGATATCACATATGCTTATCAGGAAATAATGCATCATTTCTCACAAGAATAAACAAACCTAGGTGTTGGAAGCCTAAAAAAAACAGACTTCTTCCACCCCCACAGACTTTTCTTTCGTTTTGTGTGTCTTCTTTGCATGTCTATAGACTTACCATAGTGCATTTGTCTTCCCCCAAGGAGGTTGGGAAGATATGTTAGCAAATATTAAGGCCAAAGTTATATGTACAAACCCAAAGAATAACACAAACAATCAAAAACCCCTCTACTCCACTTCAATCAAATACTGCAAAACCCTAATCTTCTTGTCATGATCCCACTCCAATTGAACACTCACCCTCCCATCTGCCTCTTCATACTCAAACTCGCATTCCTTCCCATCGATGAAACACTTCTTCGGCTTCTTCGAAGCATAAGCACACATCTCCCCTCTCCCCCTCATCCTCACTTCAGCCACCACCGCACCATTTCCTTTCCCTCTCACCTGGACCGAGTGCACTGCTCCACCGGAATTATACATGTTCACGAGCCCAATAGCCGCGAATCCCACGCCATTGAAATCATGCAAAGGTGCAAAGGTCACGAGTTCGAAACCAAGAGGGCCCAAGATCATGGTCACTTTGTCATCGGGGCTGCTCAAGATCGTTAGCTTTTCAGCCAGGTGCGAAAAAGCGATGAAGCTCTTTGAAGGTGGGTTGGCGCGCCATGCATCCACATCTGTATAGCATGCGGTGGTTTGAGGATCCTGGGCTCGTTTTGATGAGTGGCGTGCGCGCCTAAACCTGCGCTCTTCTCTGCACCACTCGCCTCCACCGCATGAAAAGGCTCCAACCACGCCTGTGCACCTGTCGAGGTTCAAAACATGGTTACTGAGAGTCCATTTGCAGGGGTCCTCATGATAACTGTGAAAAGGGCCTAAAGATGTAACAACAAATTTGAATATTAAAGAAAGACAACAATGGGTGTTATTTCTTAAATAATGGATGTAACATGATCATGTTTTTTTTCTAAGTGTTTGTATTTTATTGGACCATTTGCCATTGTTACGAGAAGTTCATAATCACTCATGGCCCTTAGATGTCAAATTGTATGGCTTGGGGGTATGTAATAAACTTCGAGATTTTTTTTTTGAACTGTGAGTCTAGTCAATGACATTTTAAATTTGACATATAGTAATAATTATGCTCTGTTCTAAAAATAAATGGGTGTGGTTTCATAAGGTTATAGCTTTAAACAATCCAAATAACGTGCACCTTCAAATTTTATCATAATATATAATTTTGATGTAAAATGTTTTTAGGATTATCTCAAAATCTATTTTTATATCTAATTATAAAATTTTAAATCCCAAAAATAGTTAAAATTAAATAGATCTATATGAAAATCTTGACAATGGATGGTATAGATAATATGTTGCAAGATGCACTATTTCTAATACTCAAAAATCTTTTTATTTTTCATAGTCATACATTTCGATATCGAGATGCTCAATCGCATGGTTTTTCAACTCTAAAATAACCTTTTCCGATGGATTTTTGAGGTGCATCCGTTGTTCTACATTTAAAGGTTGCAACCTTGTATCAACTTTTTCCAAAATAAATAGCCTCTTTGTATACTTTCTTTTTTATTATTATTAAATGCTTATTAAACAAATTAAGAAAAGCGAACAGGTTTTATTTTAGTGAACTAATAAGGGGAGCATTACAACGATTGCACATTTGTCTTTCTAACAAAGGATTTCGATCGTTGCTCTAGACTTGAATTTTGTGTTTGCCCGGGCCTAATAACTCGGTCGACTCTTGCACCGCCAAAAACAGAAAAGAAAAGAAAGAAAATCGAAGATTTACTAAAAATCATTAAAAATCACCAAAAATTAGATTAAGAAAAAGAAATCATTGGGACTACAAAAGTGAAAAAAGAATATAAAAGATGCATTATTGAATAATTTGATTCAGATATTTCAAATAAAATTGGAAAGAAAAGAAAAACTAAAAAACATGAGCATATAATGAAAAAAAAAGTTCCCAACTCATCATCATAAAAATGATATAGATGATATAAAAGTATATTTTCATACCATATGTGAATTAAAGAATCTTTAGATGATATAGGAGCCTTCACTAATTTTTAGAGAGAGGCGAGTCAAATCTTTGGGCGCTTTCACGAATTTTTTTGTGAGAGGCGAGTTAAATATTTGGGCGCGCGCTGTTTTGAATAAATTTGGGGGAGATAAAATTTTGAAAGTTTAAGGGTGGTGGCGGTAGGAATGGGATAGCACGAACTGATAACTAGGTCCTTTCCTAATAATATAACAATATATTGCATTGCACAATGGCGTTATAATTAGTTGTAATAAAGAAAATCTACTCGGACAGGTCATGGAATAACACAACAGCGCGGGACGCACCTGTTGATGTTCCAAATCTTAAGAGGTGGGGTGTGAGGGCGAAGAGGGCTAACAAAGAGGCAGTCGCGCGTGGGCTGGGCATGGGCCACGCACCGCAAAAGAGTCGAGTCAGGCAGCACCAGCTTCTTCAACAGCTCCAGGTCGTGGCGCCCCAAGCGGTCACTCACGTAGACGGGGCCACCTGAGATGGCCCGCGACGCCGCGTGGAAGTGGGCTCGCGGGTGAGTCGATTGGAACATGTCCCAATCCGGAAGTATAACGTGTCCCATCCAGAGGCTATTGTAGGCGCAGTGAATAACGTGGCAGCCTTGCAGCCAGTATGAGCCCTCGGGGTCACCGTTTGGGTCCTCCGTCCAAAAATCGTCGCCTGATTACAACCCAAACAACAAAATTTGAGAAATACGAAGCTTTATAAATTCTATCGATTAATTTTGTAATGGTTTGAGGGTTTACCGGCTCGAGCAACTGCAATTTGGTTGGTTCCGAGGAAGAGGAAGTCGTTGCAGTTTTGCATGCTCCCGATGACGCCGTTGCCTTTGAAGTATTTGCTCGCAGCCGCGTTTAAAGCGGAGTAATATGCGTTGCTCAGGTGGACCCTACCGCCCAGCTCTTCGCCTAGCGTCTCCAGAACCTGCCACATGCCGCCCATTTCATAGTATTAAGCAAAGATAACTAAATAAATAAATAAATAAATAAATAAAAATATATATATATATATATATATATTACAAAAAAAGATAACTAAAATATTGGAAACAGTATAGTAGGGTCCATATGACCAAAGAAAAACTATGGTCGGACATGACCACAGAAAAAAAACTATGGTCACGGGATCATGTCCTGAGATTTGAAGACGATCTTTGTGTCTTTCTTTTCTTTTCTTTTCTGATCTTTTTCTTTTTCTTTTTTTAATGATCTCATATGGATGACATTAAAAAAAGTATACTATTCGAAATTGCAGTAGGAAAAGGAGAACTCACCTGAATAACGTCCACCTTCACACCGTCGACACCAACTTCGTTGAGATATGAATACATGGCCTCATAAAACTGCCTCACACTCTCGGGAGGGACCGCACCGATCCCATGGCGGACCAACTTATCCACCGCCAGATCCTCCATCGTCGACTTGAGCCCTGGCGACAGCTCCGGCGACAAAATCCTCGCCGGAACATTACACTTTCCCGGCCTCACTCCGCCCCAATACCCACACATCGCGTGCCAAACATAAATATAATCTAAATTCTCAAACCTGTCCTTCAAATCCTTAACAAATCCACCAAACCCTCCCTCCCTCCTTTTCTCGCCGGAAAGGTAGTTCTTGAACTTGAAATTCTCTTGAGTTCCCGCTAACCGGCAAGGCATCTGCTCACCGGCAATAGTCAGTGACATTGCCTCCTGATCTGGCTCTTGGTCGGTGGAGATCGATTGCCAACCATCGTCTATAAGCAAGAAACCAGGTGGGCAACCGCCACGTGTCAGTTCCTCCACACCTCGTGCCACACCTTCAGGCTCCACTGCCAAATAGAAAGCGTCCCACGTGCACCAACCGAACCGGTCGACAAATTCCGGCACGATTTTGTCCTCAAGAGGCCGGAAATTACCCAATTTCAGGCGACTAAGTTCCCGCATTGATTCCTTTACCAAAAGGTAAGGATCACTTCCGGAATTTATATACACTGACCTTGGGAACTCATCGGAAATTACCGAGCTCGACCCGCTTTCTAGACAAATATCAACGTTGTCCTCGGTTCCAGGCTGAATAGAAGCTGCGAAACCGGCATCGATAAGGGGCAAGATAAGTAAATAGAGGCCACCGGATTCTGGTTTCTCCGGCGTGTTAAGAAGCAGGAACTGAGTTTCGGACTCCAGGTCTGAACCCCTGTTCCCCACCCAGAGAGTGGACCACCAAAGCTTAAACCTGAAAATGCTCGAGAAAGTGATGGACCTAAGCTTTCCAATGGTGCCACATGGCGGCTCGCCGGAACTTCCGCCCTAACACCGAGGAAGTGGCCAGATAAGGGAGAATTACCGGCAGGCATGAGGGTCACGTTTTCGGGTACATCGAGCAAGGTAGGGAGGTCATTTAGGAAGAGGTTTTTGCCTGAAATTCGAATTGGGGTTTTAGAAGATGGTTGGGTTTCATAGATTACAGAGCTCGGAGCCTCACCCATTGCCCGAAAAATGGATTTTTTCCCCCAAATTTGAGATATAGGAAAGTCAAGTGACCGAATTTTCAGGCTTGTAAGACACTGCAAGCAAGAGTTATGATTCTTAAAGGCGGACAAAGTGTGTAGCTCACAGAATAGTTAAAATGGCCGGAATATGGACTGATATAATCACCGGAAATTTAGTGACAATATATCTATACTTCAGAGTAGGACTATGGATCACAAAGTAGCAAGAAAATGTGGGTGAGATGATAATTAAGCTGCTGGGAATTCAAGAACGAATTGGTGGTCGGAAAGTTTACGGAGAACTAATCAAGAGATCGTATTACGAATCAAAAGATAACAAAATGTGGTTTAGGAGATTGAGAGTACAAGAAAAACGAGGTAATGCATTTGATACGAGGACAAGTGAATTGGGAAGTATATAAAGGCCACGAACTTCACTTAAATATTAAAAAGTAACACCTTTCCGCTTTCCTCGCGCTTAATTTTTGGATAAGCCCATGACTGAACCGTTTGACTAACGAGATTTTGGGTGAAAGAGACCAAGGTCTAACGCTGAAATCTTGGAATAAGACTGGGGTCTTCTATTGTCCTTGCTTCTGAGGGTATTATCTAGCATACCCTCGAGGTTTTTTTAGCTCTTTAAATTTAATCCCAACCGTCTGTCCTCGAAAAGGAACTCTGCATCGCCCAATGGTGTAAGGGTGACAACGGCCCGCGGGTCGGGCGAGCTAGTCCAAGCCCTGGCCTTTTTATGGCTGGGCAAAAAAATAAATGAAAAGAAATAGGGCCGGTTCAAGTAAACGGGCTAGCACAGGCCCTCGGACCACAGTTTGTAGCCCAAGCCCTACTTTTCAGGGCTGGGATAGGCCGGGCCGCGCGGGCCATTTTCATCCTTCCATAGTGATCTGGATCACATACACAACCGTTGTGGCTTACACAGGTGTCCTTACTTCCAGGAAGGTGCTGGACAAGGGTCAATTTGGTCATTTGTTCCAGAGGTAGTTATGAAGGGCCGCTATGTGTGAAGTTTGAAGGTTGGACACGTACCACCGTCCAACCGCCCAAAACGATGGGCGCTCGTGTCACCAACTCTCCCACACGTGGCTTTACACGTGTTAGCTTCCCATTCGTGGGAGTAACTACTGAGAGGCTTGGTCCAAAATTTTTAACGCTTAACTTAGTTGGGAAGCGACCGAAATAAAATTAATAAGGAAATAATAACACATTTGAATGTTTTGTAGCCCTACAAAATATATAAAATATAGAGACAGGAAAAGATTTTCATTTCAAACGTTGAAGCTTTGGGCAGTGACACGCGGCCCGTACAACGTGCACGCCAGACGCGCACCGACCAAATGGCACATGGCGACGCTTCTCAGGTTTAAGTAACTTAGGTCAGGGTTCGTTGAGAAATTTGTGGTCGGCGAGATTATTTGACCAACGGTTTTCTTTTTCTTCTTTGCCTTTTTTTGACAAACCGCTTTTCCACTTGTTGCTAAACCTTTTAAGAAGAGATGAAGTGGGGTAGAGGCTGTGAGCAAAAATGTTCAAGGCCATGTTCCTCTCGTAATCGAATATTCCCAAATTGATTGCCCTGGCGTCGAGAATTGTGGATGTAAAATACAACGAAATTTTAAGACTAAGAATAGTGTATACTGTAACCCCTATACTACATGGGAAAAGTTTTAATAAGGTTTGCAACCTTAAAACGTAGAATCACATATGCACCTCAAAAATCTATCGAAAATGTTGTTTTAATGTTGAAAAAAGCCCTCTAATCGATCATCTCAACATCGAGATGTATAAATATGAAAAAAAAAAGTTTTTGAGTCCCGAAAATAGTGTATCTTGCAACATATTATCTAGGCCGTTTATTTTCAAGATTTTCATATATTTATAGATCTACTTGATTTTAACTTTTTTTGGATTTTAAAATTTTCTCATTAGATATGAAAATAGATTTTAAGATAATACTAAGAATGATTTACATCAAAGTTACATGTTAGGATAAAATTTTAAGGTGCGCCTTAATTGGGTTGTTTAAGGTTGCAACCAATGGTTTAAAAAACGGATCGGTGACCCGGATCGGGCTTCCAAAAAACCGATCCGGATCGGTG